GATATTTTTCAAAATGCATGTAGGTATCTCGTCACTACATCTGATTAATTTAAAAAAAAGAAAATAATTTGCTTAGTATTTTTATTTAACATTAATCAACTAAGCGTACTATTTAAGATTTCTGTGATATAGACTAAAATTGCCGTGAAAAGTCAACATAAAATACTAAATTCGTTACTGCTATGATTCATAAAAGAACAGAGCCGGATTTGGAGGCCTCGGGGCAACAAAGGAGTGGACTAGACCCCTTATTATTTTCCAAATAAAATGAACAATTTTTTTCAGTCAAGTTTTCTAATAAATAATTTATTGTGAAACCAAGTAAAGATTCTTGGTGATTGAGATTGGCGACCCGCTCGCAAATGTATAATTCAGTAATATTTAATTAAATAGTACCTAATATTAAAATAAGTATTTGAATGAAAAAAAATCAAGTTATTTTTATTTCTAATTATATTCGTACATTCTCTACTTATGGGGCATCGTTCACCATAACTCTTAAAAAAATTAATTATATCTTTCAGAAGGCCTTTTAGACATTTACTAATTTGGTTACGTAACATAACATAATTTTGTTCTGTTCTCCTCATCGATACAGTTGCAACTAGGTTAATTTAAACACCTGGGCTTACCTCTATTATAACCACCAAGAAGAACAAGATTAAATGTGCGTACATAGAAATGATCACTATGTGGTAAACTAAATCACCACACCCACCAGTGTTTATGGAATGCGTACCTAACTCCGTTAGGTAACTAGAAATACAAGAACCACTTTTACAGCAACTGTGGAAAGAAATACTTCTTTTTATAAATTGATCTTTACTTTAAAATAGTCTACGGACTGAAAGCTAAAAATCTTAGCTTTCAGTCCGTAGACTATTTTAACCTTCATCGAACCCAGAGCTATGGGATGGTCAGATCTCACAATCTTGATACCTTGAAGGCTTTCGCGTTGGGCATGGCCTCGGCTTTACTAACACGTGAGTTATCTAATGAGGAGGAATGTCACCGTCGGGCCGTAACCTTGATGGCCGTTGTCTGTATCAATCGTAAGATGAGGTGGGTAAGAACCGCCTTTTAACGCCCTTTATTACCTTGTGTACTTACGTATTGTGCTAGTTTCGCCGTGCTCCTAGTTGATCAATCTTATTGGGCGTGCTGTGTGCGAATAGAATTGTGGGTCCGAAATACTCGTGTCCCTTTTCTCCACTGGTTCAATGAGAGCGTTACGCGGACGTTTCTGAACGGTCACCTTTGCGGTCACGTTGCGAGATTGGTAAACTGCTCTCCGTATACCTCTAGAGAATTGGGATAGATTCCTGCTCTTTCGAAGAACCATTTTTATTTCTAAATGACCGTCTAACGTCGGAAAAATATAACCGTTGTGTAAATCCACGTGTCTTTGATACTACCTACACTATTTGCAGTGCGGATGAATTTATTTCGCACTACCCGATTTTTCTTCTGATATATTTGCGGACTACGCGCGAAAAACATGGCATACCTAACATACCTATTTTGCTTGCAGAACTCTACAATTTGTTTAGTCGGGCTACTGATATATGATAATGATACCAAACGTGACTCTATTCCTAAGATTTTCAATGTGAGTATTATATATTCCATTTGCAAAATCAGTCACAAAGACGATTAACAATGATCGGAGGCAAATTATTGCATGAATGAATGAATATTCTTTATTGCACACACAATTATTCTAAAATATGAATATACCAATTTATCATTTATTATATTCACCTTAAAGGAACGCTGTCGGAAGGTTCTTTTATAGCTCTGGCAGCTTGCTTATTTAAATAAGGATCCCATTCATAGTCACGAACTTTGTCATACCAATCATGACTGAACCAGTCTTTGTATGAGTTTAGCTGAAACGTCACACTTTTATTTATAATAAAATCTTTAATAAGTATTAAATGCTTTTTATGTATAATACACGTATATATATATATATATATATATATATATATATATTATAAATATTGGTATATTATCTATATATATATATATATATATATATATATATATATATATATATATATATATAATGTTAAAAATTTCTATTAAATTTCTACGTACGCGGTTTTATAGTTGTAATAGTACTAGTAGGAAGATGGGAAATAAATAGAAACAGTTCCATGTATATAACAGAATTGGCTTATTTTTATTTTGAGATATATCAACGTGGTAGCTTGTGCTACTTATTAAATAAGCCGGTCCCGAAAAATCAAACCACGACTTCACTAATACTGTCATCATGTAGAAGCATCTAAGAATTACGTCCGGTAAGTTATATTAACGTAAGCCACTTGTAGTAACTTGCACACCTGCAACCTCTGTTGCGAATGTCCATAATCTTCTGTCATCACTTACTATCAGATCAACAGAATTGCTTGAAACCTTGTTATACACGAAACGACGTTAGGTAAATGTTCAAATACTAATAGAATGTATAAAGGGCAATAATCCTACCCCACAACAATGTAAGGACCATTGCAAATTATCAATGAAATGTTTATATTTCGGAACGCTTCTATAATATTTTATGCCACGAGATAGAAATTTGAATGTAGTTTCTTTACATGCACTTAGCCTCCTCAGGCACAATACACAGCCAATGATATTAATTACAATTATCCATGATAAGCACATCCATAGTGGGCAGCACAGGACTTTACTTTTTGGCCTGGAATTTTACATAAAAGTATATAGTAAGTATATAGTATATAGTAATCGAAACGAAACAGTGTAATGTTTATTTAAAAAAAATGCTTATTTAATTTTAATCAAAATCGTTATTTTAATAAAATAAACGCTGCAGACGAACACTGCCCCCATTAATTCACTTATTACAAGAGCATTGTAAGAAGAACCTATACTAGTTATTTAATTCATGTGCTATAAAAACAATTTAGTGTCAGTAGTATGAAAATAGTATCTTAGAAAGCGGTGTATATATCTTAATAAAGGCGAAAGATTACGAACCCATAATAAAATTAGGTCGTCTATTTGAAGCTTATTAACATACTTACATAATCTGTTCCATTCATGTTGCTAAATATCACTGTTTTAAAATAATAAAACGTATACCGGGGCAAAGTATCCGCTTGTCGCGGATTTAATATTCTTAATATATTAATAGCACTAAGCTGAATTATATAATTAAGGTATTCATGGTTTACATTATTTAAATTTAAAACATCGTACTCAATGCGCTTTCCTTTTGCAACGGAGTACAAAATGTACACGTTCGTTGGTAGCATTATTACTCCTGACAACAGTACTAAGGCATTCACTAAGTCAGTTCCAGTCAGCAAAAGCACGTTACCAACAACTGTAAGGATATCACATGATTAAAATGACACGTCTTTTTTACAATAACTTTATACATTACCCAAAATTTGATGAAACATACAGAAAAATAATAGTAGAGACCAGGTTATGGCAAATATAGAAATAAGCCATAAAAAGCACGCAGCCCACAAAATGAATAGATGTGTTTGATACATCGCCCTCATAGGCACAGAGTACTTTTGTATATAGGGAAATGGAAATGCTCATAGGCTATATCGCATTTCATATGCTTTAGAATATACATAAAAACAATGTAAACTTCAGAAACTTCTATGACTTGTCAACAGTCAATAAGTCTTTATTTGCATAAACTTAACCAGTATAAACTCGTTAGTGTTCATTTCAATTAAGCTTAGACCAAATTAATAACAACAAAATCTAGGATTATTATGACTAATCAAATATTTCGACTGTTAAGTGAATTTTATAATAAAAACAATCGTATTATGATAGAGCTAGTTTTTATATAAAAAATAAGTCGTATCCAGTGAACGGAATTAAAACATGGAAGCATTATTGTCGCTCCAAAATGGCATCACGAAAACTGTACCGTAATGGGCGAGGCTTCTTTACTGGAGGTACTGCGAGCGATTTTAGTTCATTCCTGTGAGTTGACAGGTGGGGACGTTGAACGGAGTTTTCAAATTAGTATTTTATCAATTCAAAATGCCTTCATGTGTAGTGAAATGGTGCAGAAACCATAGACGGCATGTGTAAGTGCAAGTTTCAGTGAAATCGAAAAAAGTTATAATCTCATTTTTAGGGTTCCGTACCTTAAAAGGTAAAAAACGGAACCTTTATATGATTACTCTCTTGTCTCTCTCTTTCTCTCGTCACTATAGGGATGACACTATGCCATATGAACTTTAGGTAATATACTTTTCCATTCATATTTTTATTTTATGTTTGAATTTATAGTACTCATAAACGCATAACTTACTGTGCGCTTTTCATTTGTTTCCTTTATATATTTAAATTACCACAAGACCCTAAACAAAGAAAACAATGGATGAAAGCTGTTCAATTAAAGACACGAAAGGATCTCTTTATTCATCAATACTTTGGCTTGGCGCAATCGAACTTGAGCGGGCCAGCTAGTGATTTATAGAAAATACGTGTGTGTATTTATGTACACGCATGTAAGAAATTATACTTCTTTATCGTAACAAACGAAAATTGACTAAAAAAAGAAAAGACGCCAAAAGAAGCACGCCATTATTTAAAGGGGAAAATAGACGTGAATGCTAGTTGTTCTTTTCAATATATTTTAATTAGCTTATCTTACGACGCATATTAAACGACTAAATGATGGTTAGTTTATTAAATTCACGCGTTCACGTACACAAAAAAAGAAAAACTACATGATCCTGTATTGTATTTATTAACAGATTTGATAAATTAATAATTTTTTATAATAATATAAAAAATTAACACTATAAAATGTAGAAAATATTAAATATTCTCAAAATTTGCACTTGGTTATAAAACATAATTATTTCTAATTAATAATTATTGATATATGATTAATAATTATTTCTTACAATGTAATGGATAAAAATGTATAAAAATATCATAAGACTAGTTTAAGCCCTGTTTAAAAATATTTTTTTAAAGCATTTTCTTTAGTCTTTTAACTCGTCGGGTCTAGTGACATCACCCATCTTCCTTATCTTCGAAGCCACCGTAAATTCGCAACCTGTACTCACAATTACATCTTCTACCGTAACGCCCTCAGCTAATTCAGTTAAAATTAACCCTTTCCCTTTGTCCACTTCAAATACGCACTGAAAACAGGTGACTTTTTAAATTAAAATAATTATTATTCTTCCTAATTTTACGATAAAATTATTATGATGTAAGTTTACAGTAAATATAACTGTTAAATACAGGAAACAGCTTACTTAAAGCTGTTTTCTTTAGCAAAATTTATAGTTCTTCCGAACTGGATATTGCAAGACATATAATATGATGAGGGAGACAAAAATGAATATCACTAAATACTCGATTCTTGAGTTTACGTAGAATTGGCCAATCCTTGAGAAAGACATTACGTTTTATTCTAGACATGGACTGGTGATGGCTACATATTCATGATGGAAGATAAGCCTCTAATTGAAAAAAAGAAACCATCAGATAATCTTTAGCTCTACACTATTCGAATGTTGAAATAAAACCACGAAACGTACACAATTGATCTAGAGCTTTACAATGAAATCAAAAATCCTTACTAATATTATAAACGCGAAAGTTTGTATGTATCTTTGTTACTCTTTCATGCAAATATTACCTGAATGGATTTTAATGAAACTTTACAATAATATAGCTTACTATACACATATTTTATGTATATCTGTCTTTCTGTCTGAATTTTACGCCTTCAGATAATACAGTAAGCTGACAATAAAATTTTCTTTAAATTGAACGTGTGGAGACTTTCGTTGTTGGGACTTGAGATAGATTCAGTACTCATCACATCTCAATCGAAGGTTCCATTGCCATAAAAATAGTGTTCAATATATTAATTTAACTTTTGTGCTCAGAGGGACACGTGGGCGACTAAATGACACCGGATATTTCTTCCAGTCCACCGTAGGTGTAGAAAAGTTACGTCATGGCCTTGTGTGGTTTTTGATGAGTGATGGCTTTGCAACGGTACCTTTTCCGTGATGATCATGTCCACGCAGTTCTTTCCAGTCAGCGGTAACGAGCATTCTGGTAATATCTTGTGGGCTCCATTCTTAGCCGTGTGTTCCATCGTTACCACGACCTTGGTCCTAGGCGCCGAAACCAAGTCCATAGCACCGCCCATTCCCTTCACCAATTTGCCCTGAAAAGATATTATCAAATTCATCAAAACATAGTCTGCAATATCATCAGACGAGTCATTTATTATACACCTAAAATATACGCATATATCCTCTAAATGAAGCAAAATGCGGAGTGCCACAATTAAATTTCAAAAATATTTAAATTATATTTAAATCCGTTTTAAACTGTAGCAACAGACAAAAGCCGGTCGTAACCAAGGGTTCTCCTCACCACTATTGTATTTAAGAGCACACTAACGTGCCCTTAAATATTCGGTAGTAATGTAAATTTACGCATCTATGATTATATGCATCTATAATCCTATACTATATTATATCCCCAGAAGTGGGAGATATGTAGACCGCTTTAAAGCCTTCCACGTCCAAAGACCTAACATTATTTATTATTAGCCCAAAGGATACACTTTCTTCATTTATTCCGAAAACATGAATGTTTTTGAGCATGTGATAAATCACACAAGCACAACCTCATAGAGGTCGACTAAAACCGTTTATCATCGACTAATTTAATCACATTTATTTTACGCATTCTGTTGCGGTCTTACAAGATTTTACCTGCCGTCGTTTCGAATACGGAACATAAGTCGTGGTCAGGGGACAGCCTATCTTTAGCAAGAGTGTGGCATCGGTTACCTCAAATAAGGTTTCTAACACCTCGCTTTCAGCCTAGTAAAGTGTCACTTTGTTATATCCTATGGAACCATCTGTCGCCGGCGCGAGCAGCTTCTTCGACTTCGGGACCTTCAAGAAGAGAGCCTATTCCTACCTCAATGGTGGGTAACGTATTTGTTACCCATCCGGTTTGGCTAATGTCCATATGCAACAGTCATTACTTACCATCAAAGGACCCGATTACAGCTATTTAAAATAAAAACGAACATACAGGCTAATATTAATAAAATTAATAACATCACTATCACATCCTATAATGTTACTGGTTCATAATGAGCAGCTATAATGTTTGTTCTTAATATTTAGTTCATAAGAATATTTCATAGTCTGTAAGGTCAAGAATGCACAATGCACATGCATCCAAAACACAAGTATGGGTGGGTGCAACTGCATTCATGCATAGTTAAGAAAAACGAAATAAATTTATCTTATGTAACATCAAATTAATCAAACAGTCTTACAGGAATCATCCAATTCGCCAAATCTCCAAATTGAGATACTTGCATTGCACCAAGTATTGTTAAGTCAATATGTCCTCCGCGAATCATGGCGAAGCTGTCGTCCGATGAAAAGAATGATGCACCTGTTTGTAAATTGCATTGCTTTATTTCTTTTTCTTAAACAAATAATTTACGATTAAAATAGATTACGATTAAAACAGTCTTAGGGCGATATAGCGAAAGAGTTCAGCAATGGGAGTAAAAACTCTTTGGAACATTAAAATATTTTTTTTTTCGTTGTCTGAATATGCGGCTGCACACAATTGACCTGTTGGACTGGGGTACCTATACCTACGGTATATTATAGATGACAGAAAAAGAAAAGTGAAGTAATAGCCTACCCATTTCCATTGCTGGGCAAAGGCCTCCTCTGTACAGAGGGTATCAGGGCGTAGTCCACCAAGTGGCCCCATTGCGGATTAGTGGACGTCCCATATCTTCGAAATATTGTTATGTTATTATTTCGAAAATATTTAGGAATTTTCACGATGTTTTCCTTCACCGCTGAACACGTTAAATTTAACAATATTGGTGCTGGCACCGTGATCAAGCAAATTTATGTAAACTTGTGCATTTGCGTGACCGTCCATTGCGTGAGATAACTAACCGAATTCCGAGGCCGATTGTTTACAAATGAGTAGGTGTACGTTTCTCATTAGAGAATAGAAGAGCCATCCGATAGAAGGTCCATTGTACAAAACTCGATACGTGATTGATTATATCAACCAAAAGATGATTGTCACTACCTAGCAAGACCGTTATCTCCGATGAAATGGGACGCTTATTACTTCGGCAGTATGTAAATAATAAGAGACAAACACGGCGTAAAATTATAAATACATATATGTCGTGTGACGACTTTTGACCTTATATTAAAATTTAGAGCTTACACCGGAATTAAACCCGTTGAAGTCTTGCTAAGGTCTTACCGAAAAAATTAATTTCCAACTTTCTGAAGATGTTATAGGGGATGGCCAAGAGTATATGGATAATTATTATAACATCGTGACATTAGCTAGCAACCTTTTCGATAAAAAACTTAGTGCACAGGCACACACTTATATCATCAGAAACATCTCAGCCTGTTAGACTCCACTGCTGAACAGGCCTTCCCCACAGATATATATCACACAGAACCCTAATTTTAATTTTATTCTATTTCATTATTTACAAAACTGCTTTACAGATTTAAATATTTAATAAATAGCTAATTTTATATTTGAATTTCACATTGATTTTATTTGTCATCATCGTTTCAGCCTGTTTGAGTCCACTACTGAACATAGGCCCCCCCCACAGACTGCCACAAAGCACAATTTTATTACCTCTAACGATTCTTTATCATACTAACTAAAGGATTAATTTTTCATTTTATTTACATTGATTTTATCACATAAAATTCCCAAATTATGGCACACACTTGGATGTGATGGGCACCCAAGATGCTCAGTGTGCCTATGGTAGGCATTAACATATTTGTTACTTTCTTACTCCACTATGTAAGAAAGATTCATAATAATATTTAAAGTAATACCAGAATTTACTCAAAACTTAATAACACAGAAAAAAGGTGGACACTGGCTAAATTTTTATGGGCTGTTAAAATTAAGATTACTATAAAAAACAAAAAACTTTCACTTGTTTGATTATACCTATTATTACTGTTTATATTAACTAAAATTCAATTTATTTAAAACATATTACATACATACATAAAATATTATTCTGACTACATAATTGGTTAATTCCTTTCATAAATCTGTACATAGATAAGCTATCACAATGCTAATAACAGACTTCTCAGTTGCTGTTTATTTAATATGTATAAGTGTCTTATTTCAAGGTATAATGAACTTATGACATATATGGCATTTTTTTTTTATTTAACATATTTCTATAAAAATATAAAACAAAAATGTTGTATTGTACTTACCAGGAAGTATGGTGACTGTCTCTTTTCCTGCATTAATTAGATCGGCATCAACCTCTTCTTCTTTTGGAAACGGACCTAGGCCAAGAATACCATTTTCAGACTGCAAAAAGACTTTAACATTTTGTGGTATGTAGTTACTTGCGAGCATTGGCATACCTGAAAAATCATAAAGCATACATTTATTATTTTCATCACACAAAATCACCAAATCATTGTCTGGAAAATAGTTAACATACCAATTCCAAGATTAGCGTGCATGCCATCTGTAAATTCTAAAGCTGCCCTTTTTATGATTCTTTCTCTCATTAAGTCTGAAGATTTCTTCTCTTTTTGTACTATTGGTTTAGACACAGTTCTTCTCTCTATACGCTTCTCAAATTTATCTCCTTTGATAACTCTATGAACATATATGGACGGAATGTGTATAAAATCAGGGTCAATGCTGTCCACAATCTCTTCAACCTCAGCAATTGTAACCTTTGCAGCTCTACACATTGCTGGGTTGAAATTGCGAGCACTTTTTCTGAATATTAAATTGCCATATTTATCTGCTTTCCAAGCTTTAACTAAAGCAAAATCTCCAGTAATTGCCTCTTCCATAATGTAATCCTTGCCATCAAATTGCTGTACCAATCTAGCTGAGCTAGGAATATCAATCTAAAATTATAAGAAGTGTTAAAAAAGTTAGTGAAAAAAAAACCAAGTATAATTTTGTACTTAAGAATAATTAGCCACTGAATCACCAAGTTCAATTTGTTTTTTCTTAAGTTAATGCGTTTGTACATTTTAAAGCTTTTTTTGTTTGTACTTACTTTTCCATCCTTTGTATATTTAATAGGCGAACCACCTTGTTGAATTAAAGTACCATAGCCAGTTGGTGTAAAGAAAGCTGGAATGCCAGCTCCGCCTGCTCTAATTCTCTCTGCTAATGTACCTTGTGGAGTCAGTTCTACCTAAAAGCATCAAATATTGAAAACTTGACAATTAATTTCTTTTTAATTTAATCATGCTCTCAAGCATACCTCTAGTTCTCCACTCAAAAATTGCCTTTCAAATTCTGCATTTTCCCCAACTCCCGACTCCCGACCCGACCCGACATTCAGTCAGTAAACAGTAAATAAACACTAAACAGAAACACATCAGTCACTAGCGGTACTATAAGATAAAACACTTGCTTTTTGTCGTATTAAAAATTGAAAAAGCCGAGGTGTCGTCAGATACTACTTTATCAAACCAAGGTCATACTCATAATAAATGTAGTTTACATTTGCGGTGGTCCTTAGGTCATCACAGATATATGCATGAATTAATATTTATAAACGTACATTTTAATGAGTTTATGTAAATGATGCAGATGTATTAAATTAATGTATCTACGTCAAGTCGTCAAATCAACAAAGTATACAAAGTTACAAAGTATACAAAGTTACTCTATGGTCGTGAATGCTAATAAATGTCGCGTTGTTATATTTTTTAAATCGGTATAGGAATTTAGATCTTTGAATGTAGCTAGCACCCATATATAACATTAAATCATTGATATACTGTCTCAGTGTCTCACATTTTCAATAAAAAATATATGCTGCACATTTTCAATTAAACTACACTTGTTTGTGTCGTTAGAAGAACAGTACGAAAGTATACAAAGACAAAAAAAGGCAAAGAGACTATGATAATATAACAACAATAAATACATAAGCGCGCATCAAGTTATGTAATTAAACATTCGGTTCAGAGACGCAGTCTGCTTATCTGATGTCGACGGCCTTCAGCCGATAACTCTCTTACATGTCTTAAACAACCCCATAAGTATAATTAATATAAGTTAACTAATAATGTAAGTTTAATTTATAGATTGATAATATTTCCATAAATACTTGCAACGGATTTGAGCCCAAATTAGTTACATTTGTCTCACTCCTTAGGTAAGTCGAATCAAGTAAAGAACGTTACTAAGCAGAGAAGACAGTACGATAGGGTGTATTTGGTATAGAAAGCCACTAAAAAATAAACATTTCTTTTTAATAAATAATCTGTAATTAATGAAAACTAACTTCGATAGTAACGCATTAATAAAGCTACATTTTGACTTGAATAAATCTTCTCACAATTCCTGGAACTCATCTACCTTGTTCTTTTGCTATGTCTAAACTAGGGAACATGCTATGTCCGTTAATTTGGGAGTCATCGAGACTAGCGCCAGTGCTCCTTTTAATGCTCATTGGAATTGCACTGTGGCATTTCATTCTGTATAGGGCCTATCTATCTCCTTACTTGCTTTTGTAGGTGTTTCATCACATCTTGAGTTGAATAGAGATTCCAATGGTACAAGAGATGGTCAAAGGTATCATCAGATATACATCGGACTATATAATGCTTGGAAGAATATTCTTCAAGTTTTATAAAATCTATTGAAGTAAAGAGACGCATGTGAACTTGTGTGCATTAGTAAAGAGGGCCCATCGGAGTTTAGGATGGAACATGACCTTGAATCGTTGGCTGGAATTGGTGAGAACCGCCCTTAAAGGTGGGTGGTATCTGGTGTATGCCTAATATCAGCTATTGCACAGCGCCTAGATGCTTACACCCGTCATTAAATTTGGCGCGATCTATGCTATTGATTTCACTGATGTTTTTGCTTTCAGTCTAAAGACTTTCAAAATTTAATCAAAAGCAGAACTCGTGATAGCCAGACCCCACGAATACTTTAAAAACGAATACGGCCTACGCGTTGGGTAGGGGCGCACCATAAGTTATAGGAGCCCGAAACGAACGCTGCTCTGTCTGTTATATTTTAGTTTGCGTGGCGAATGTCATTCTACAGTCGAAAGTAACTCCTAAGTACTTGAACTTCTTTCATCAAGGGAACTGCATCTTTATTTATATATTCGCCCTAGCCCTGGCGAGATTTTTTTTTTGTTATTTTTTTTTGGTGGGGAAATCCTGAATAGGATACCTGTCCACCAAGAGAGGGTAGACAGGTTATGTCGGATTCCTACCGACTAAAACCTCACGTTACTCATCTTTAGTCCTGATGAGGGGGCACGGGATCTCCTAAAGGAACGCAACCGCGGCCCCTCTGACTTACTAAGTAGCTCAGGTTCGGGGATATACTCGCTACCCCAAGTACGTGCGCGAAGATGAGGATGTTGATCGCCTGCAGCCCCAAGAACCCGTTTACTCAACGGAGCTATCTTTGGGTGCCATGGCTGGGAGCTCCAACTTCCTACCGTCGTCTCCGGCGGGTGGGATCACTTCTTTCGCGATCACGTTCAGAAGCTTCCTTTTGGAGCATAACAGTCTCGCAAAAGGAGGCTACAGCGCTCCACTTTGGGTTTCCGGACAGCATTGCAGAAATAACTGCTGTCAGGGAAAGTCTCTGTCCAATATGGTTCTCCAGGATCCGCCTCTCCTGCTGCTATGCAGGGCATATCGCAAGTGTATGGTCTGCGGAATCCTGGTTCACCCCACCGCAGTGGTAGCACATCGCCGTCGCTTCTCGTCCAATCCTACACAGATAATCACCGAAGCAGCCGTGCCCTGTGATCATCTGTGTAAGTCTGTAAGTGAGTCTTCCCCACCGTCGCTGCATCCAGGCTTCGAAAACCGGCAAAATTGCCCTTAGGCGCGTTTGCGTGCAAATTGCTCTTTACAAAGCCGTGCACGCCACCTCCAAAGAGCGCTAAGCCGCTCTTGCCGTTTAACAGCCTCGAGCACCTCTACTGACTCGCTACGACCACTTTGGCGGATGACTCGAATCTGGTTGTTGCACATTACACATGCATCCATGTTCGCCAATATGTCCAAAGGTGGGAAGCGAGCCAGGAGTGTCGCCGCCTCGAATGATATCGTGCGATATCCTCGAACGATCCGTATGGCTATCCTCCGCTGGATGCTGTAAATTTTAGTTCTACAGCGTCTAATGGCCAGCCTTTGAGCCCAAACTAGTGCACCATACAGAGCCACGGAACGTACGACTCCTGCATAGAGGCGGCGCACTTCCTCTCTTGGGCTCCCAAGATTGGGCAGCAGTCTGTGCATGGCACCCGCTACCCTCTCGATCCGGGGGACTAGGCGCTCAAGGTGTTCATCAAAACCCCAACGACTGTCCAGAATAAGGCCAAGGTACTTCATATACCGCCCCACTTCCACTTCAGACCCACTCACTTGGATACATGAGTTAGGTGGTTCCGTGTTTCGTGACATTTTATGAAACCATAGCGCTTCGGTCTTGTGAGGTGCTATCTTTAATCCCAACTCATGTATCTTATCAATGACGATTTGCACGCCAAGCTCAGCTCGCTCTACGCTCGCACTAGCGTGTCATCCGCATAACAGACGACGTCGACGCTAGCGGGAAGCTCGGTACGCAAAACTGCATCGTATGCAATGTTCCACAATAATAGGCCCAGCACTGAGCCCTGTGGAACCCCACAGTACATCTCCCTCCTGATTTTAGTACCGTCTTGGTCTGTGTACAGAACGTACCTGTCGTGTAAATAATTTGTGACAATACCTTGGAGGTATTGTGGCACATTGTGCGTCGCTAACCCTTCCAGAATAGCGCCCCAAGGCAGAGAGTTGAAAGCGTTTACGATATCAAGACTAATCGCCAACGCCACTCTACCCTGAGACACAGCTTGGTCCGATAAGAAGCGAAAGCGCATGATGGCGTCTATAGTTGAACGCTTCTTTCGGAAGCCAAACTGGTTTTCGAGCTTGAGTCAAGGCTTCACATCATGGGAATCGCCTGTTCACTTGCCAGCTTTTGACCTATATAAAGGATACGGAATGACATAGCGGCGTCGATCGTGACCCCTTGATATTTGACCTCCTTCTCCTAAATGGTTTGTTGGCTAAAAAAGGTGATTTTCCCTGATATTCTGTTCAGCGCCGGTGAGTGGGTGGATCAGATCCACGATGGTAGTCATCTTGATCAGTGCTCCATATACGAAAATTATCTCACAGGCGATCAGCGGCACTTGGGAGGCGGATGGCCATACAGTCAGCCAATTTGTCTGTCAAAAATAAAAGACTACTGACTTCTGCGAAAAGCGCGAAGAGATAAGATCCTTGTAGACCGCCCGGCTGGTAGCGGCTCGTTGACAAGTTGCTCCGTAGTATATGGCGAAAGGAGCGATTTGTTGTGTTTTTGAAGCTTCTAAAAGTGTGAGTGAGCCTGCCTAGCCCATTGAATGCTAAGTTGCTAAAATAAATGTTCCGGGATGGGCAAGATTGCCTTGGACGCAGCCGAAATATTTAGGATTCCGTACCGTAACCCGTACCCGTAAAGGTTACAATGGGACCCTATTACTAAGACTCCGCTATCTGTCTATCTGTCCGTCTGTCACCAGGCTGTATCTAATGATTCCTGATAGTTAGAATGTTGAAATTTTCACATGATGATTCTTTTGCCGCTATAACAACAAATACAAAAAAATAGAATAAAAAAATATTTAAGTGGGGCTCCCACACAGCAGACATGATTGTTTGCCATTTTTATAGACTGGAACGGAACCCTCCGTGCGTGAGTCCAACTCGGACTTGACCGGTTTTTTACATTTCTCACGCTTCGTATTTAATTTCCATGATAAATCAGAAACAATATAAACTAGGTAATGTTAGTTTTCATAAGGTTTTATTAAAACAATATCTTTCATTTTAGAGTTTCTGTTCAAAAATTTCATAAAGTATAATTAGTCTAAGTCGAATTAACTAGTTAATTATTATTAATGTAGAAGAAATATTAATTGCCATTTCGTAAGTCATTATCATTGCACCTACTTACATAGCTGCGTGGCTCTGGTAATTGATATCTTTCAGTAAAATATGATTTTATTTCTTCAATTGTATTATCTCTATAATGTGTAAATTATTAATAACCGTTTTCATATAAACGAATTCAAATCGAATATGTTACAATTTTAAGTATCAGCTGAGCCAGCTTGTTTTATTATATTTAGAGAATAAATAAATAATGAAGAAGAAAAAGGATTTGGTGGAACTTCTGCAAGACATTCCTCCATAATATCATAATTTTAATCTATATATATTAAAGAGAATGTATGTGTGTATGTATGTTCACCTAAAAACGAGAACAGTTAGCCCATTTATATATAACTTAGCACATTTATAAAGGGCGACATGACTTCTCCGACGAACATAGTTATCTTAGTGCCAGATAGGTGGCGCTGGTGGCAGTGATTTAGTGTGCAGGCTTTTGAACCATAGGTCGAATTAATATACGGTTACACGGAAGATTTTTGGAGAGTGTTTTAGTAAGAAATTACTTAGATGTGGACTCCCGTATTCCCAGGCTATAACTAATATAAAATTAAGATAAGTATGCAGTTCATGTAGATAAGTTTAATTTTCTTATTTAAGAGATAGTGCTCTTTTTGTAGTAAATTGTGTAAACTCACGATCTATTTCATATATGTCCGAAACCTGAATTGCCAGATCTTGTGATCTACCTAAAAATAATTGCTTAAACTAATTAGCCCTAATTTTATAACGAAACATAAAGTTCTTTCCATATTTAAATGACTGGTAGACTTTGTGGTAGGAACACGCAACCGTATTTGCTGTTGTACGAATAGGCAGGTCCTTCCGGGTTAGTAACACGACCTCACAGAAGACCGGCGTAAAGTAGAAGTATTAGACTTCTGCGTTTCGTCTGGTGAGTGAGGTAGCCCCGTGAGGTAGCCAGGTGTTGTAAATTTCCGTGGGCGTTTGTTATCACATCAGGTGAACCGACAGCTAGTTTGTCACTTTCTCACATAAAAGAAATATGACAATAACATTGTGTATAAAAGTTATATGTAGGAATCTGAAGTAAGAGCCCTTCGTTTTTTTAATAATGTAGAGTTTTAGTTCTTTAGGTAGCAAGGTCTCTTTCGTCTTATACAGCGTGTCTTTACCATCGCGACAATAAATGAACACACATATAGAGGATAACTTTTTAAAATTGTATTAAACATTTACATTCTTTAAACATCAATATTTACTGAGTTATCAAATTTTCCAAAACCAAGAATTTTAGAACAGCCTTGCATATAAAACTGTAACGTAAAGTTCATTTGTAAAGGTCACAAAGCATATGAATGGGTTGAATGGATATAAAAGAGACAAAACATACTGTTAGAAAGAGAGGCTTGTAACGCGCCGCTGTGGCAACGAATGAAAAAGTCTCTGAATGTATGAATCAGTCAGTTGTAGTTGTATAGGATGTTAAGAAGTTTTGTTTCTTTTTTACTTAGTTTGTTTGAAAAATATTTTTTTTGAATTGTGGATTTTTTGAACGTTAATATTTTTTTATGATTATTGGCAAGTAGCGTTAGACGTGTGTTCATTTATTGTCGCGATGGTAACGACACGCTGTATATTTCATAATAAAACATATTTAATAGGCTTATATTTCATAACACGCGCAAAATATTATTTCTGTCACATGTTTATGTGTATGGGACCTAAACATAAAAAAGCATCAGCCTATACATGTCCCACTGCTGGGCAAAGGCATCCTCTGTACAGAGGGTGTCAGGGCATAGTCCCACACGCGGCCCCACTGCGGGATGGTGATTGACCTAAACCTATAAAAGTGTGTAATAAAAACGAGATATTTTACGATATTTCAATCCCGCTAATCCGTAATGGTTACCGTAGTGGATGAATCACCTACAACACCATTGCCCCGAAGTTCAGTAAATTATATCAGAAAACGATTAATGTTACAATAATTAATGATACAATATTTCACATTAAAACGGTAAATATCGTGGGACAATTTTGTATGTTGTATTTCAGTAATACAACATACTTATATATATTTTTATTTTTTAAAAAATCTAATGAAAAACGATTAATCGAAACAAAGTGTTAAGAATTTATTTAGGATATTTTATTAATAATAGCGTTCAATTCAATATCATAATGCCTTCCACTTTATGCAAAATTAAAAAGTAGATAAATTATTGAATATGCAGACAATATAGCTTTGTATAGTTCATTTTGTTAAAGTTTCCAAACATATTTTTGACATAGGTAGTGTATCTTGTATTATCTGATGTTTGTGCTTTCAGTCCCGAGACTATTAAAGCTTCATCTGACGCAGAATCGGTGGACTAGCCAGAACCCACGGGTTTGGGCCGTCCTCTGTGGGTAAGGCCGGACATTGGTACTATCACTTATTTTTTTATAATTATCGTGATTGACATCTTACAATTACAAAACACCTGAAATATACATATACAGAACAGATTCACTCTAAATAGCAAACTTACAAACTACTGCGTGACAGAGTCAAGTATATGGACACGCAATCTTACAAGTTTTACCTTAGCCAAACAGAAAATTCAATAAAAGGCAATCCTAAACATTTCTGGACCTTTGTTAAAAACCGTTACAATTTCAATGCTATTCCTAGTACACTCGAATATAATAATGAACTAATTCACTCGGGTGAAACCATCTAAGAGGCATTTTCCTCATATTTTCATTCTACATTTCTTGAACCCATTATTGCTACTACCTTTAATCCGACTCCGGCCACTCCGACTGTATTATTGCCAACAAACTATGCGGTTGATATCAGTTGTATTAAAGTAAAAATTGAAGATGTGTCAAAACAGCTCCTTAAACTTGATACTTCTAAATCCCCTGGTCCGGACAACATATCGGCTAAATTACTTGTAGGATGTGCACCATCTATCTCTATACCTATTTCCATCCTATATGCCAAATCTTTGTCTTTAGGCGGAGTCCCCAAGGTTTGGAAATCAGCATTTGTTATACCCGTGCACAAAAAAGGGCCTAAAACTAAAGTCACTAATTGTAGACCGATATCTAAACTATGTATAATAGCCAAAGTCTTTGAAAAGATTATATTAAAGATTATAGTTGGTTATCAATTATATCCCACACTTGCTACGTCGTTTAGTCCCTTTCAACATGGGTTCCTGAAAGGCCGGTCTACAACCACAAATTTAATCCTCTTTAACGATTTTATTACAGCTGCTATGGACAATGGCCAACAGGTTGACGTTATTTACACTGACTATAGGCATTCGACCGAATTGACCACAAAATCTTGTTGCTCAAGCTAAACGGCTTAGGTATACAAAGGGACCTATTTAGGTGGTTCTCGTCCTATATTGAGAACAGAACGCAAGCTGTCGTTCTTAATAACTATATGTCCAGCTGGGTTCATGTCCCTAGTGGCGTACCCCAAGGGTCCCTTCTTGGTCCATTGTTATTTATATTATACGTGAATGACGTCTCCCTGTGCCTCAAATGATCTAAACTGCTTTGTTTTGCTGATGACATGAAAATATTCACCACAATATCATCGATTGATTATATGGCGGCACTTCAGGCAGATTTATCACGGCTAGAAGAATACTGCTGTGCACATAAACTAGACCTCAACGCCTCTAAATGTTCAACAATCACGTACACTAGAAAACGGACCGCTTTGGCCACAGCTTATAATCTAGGAGGGCAAGTATTACCTAGATGCAATGCCATACGTGACTTAGGTGTTCATCACGATAGTAAGTTGCTTTTTGATGTTCACATCGACACTATTGTAAAAAAAGCCTCTAAAGCACTGGGGTTTATAATGCGGATTTCCAAATGTTTTACCCAAGCCAAAACCCTTAAAATCCTATATTTACGTATGTAAGAAGCCATTTGGAATACGTTTCACAAATTTGGAATCCGCGCTACCGCACATACACTGATCGCATTGACAATATTCAAAATTGTTTCATTAAATACCTTTGTTTCCACCAGAAAATTCTATATCACTCCGATAACTATCTTGAACTCTGTCGAAAATATCATCTGTTACCGCTAACAATTCGCCGTGAGATAGCCGACTACGTCTTTATACTAAAATTTTTTAATAATAAAATTGATTGCCCTGAATTATTAACCAAACTATATATAAATGTCCCGTGCAAATCAATTCGTTTCACGCCGCCCTTGCATTTGCCTAAAGCGTCATCAAATTACAGGCAAAATAGTTATATTGTGCGTGCAATTGTAAGCTTCAATAAAATATGTAAAGAGCACAATTTTGATCCATTCACAATGAGTGTGTCATCGGCAAGAAGGTACTTAAGCCTTAACTTTTTTAAGCAAGATAAATAGGTAAAATAGTCTTATAAATTTAACTTGTAATATTCATTTGTAATTTTTTTTAATTTACCATATTAATCAGCTACAGTACTTGTCTGCTCTCCAACTATAATATTTCTATAAGTGAAGGCTTGTGCCTAACTTACCCTAAACTAGATGACAAACAGCCTATTGCTGTAAGTCTTCCATATCCTAAATAAAATAAAATAAAATAAATATTTTCTGGGTAAGAGACATTATTTAACTAAAAGAACGCCTGACATATAAACATATATGTATACTTAACACAATATGTTACCATTTTAAAAATAAAGGATTTGTGATTCCTCCTAATAAATTTTAAATATATTATTCGTTTATTAAGTGTATCATAACATATATTACAAATTAAAGTGTATTATATTATACATTTGTATTGTATATAGTGACATAGCATATGGCATTAAATTCAAACAAATCCATAATCTAAACACTATATTTTCCATAAAGCACGATTGAAATTTAAACAAAATAAAAGAATATATGAATTGTCATAAAATTTACCATATACAGTTGGTGTTACAACCGTGACCTTAAATTAAAACTTCTATTGCTACTTGCCAAAAATCATATATATCGATCAGGATATCGATTGTATTATCAATAATATCGGTAGTATCGACAGTATTGACGTGACAATACTATCGATAGACTACCGATTCTATTGCTTTTACCTTAACTATCGATAGATAATCTATTGTCTATCGATAGCAGACTATCGATATGCAACACTAATATGCTTTGTAAAAGCGCCTTTACAAAAGCAAAAGATCTTTATGTTAAAGTTTTATAGGTACGGTGTTCTAAAATGGAAAATTTAATAACTCGGTAAATATTAACGTTAAACAGTTATCCTCTATATTATGTGTGTTGATTTATGGTCGTGGTCGTAACGACACGTTGGTAATGTGTGCTTTAACCGAAAATTATTTATTCGCGAACAACTTGTATGCCATTACAGAGTAATGGATTTTAAATAAACAGCAATAGCGTAATAATAGTATGAATCTAACTACTCTATTTGATGACGTTTAGTAACAACGAATATTTATTGCATCATAATAATTGTAAGAATGAAGACTATATTTGACAAGATGACAAGTTTTACCGCGCGAATACGCAGTCAAAGAATACTTTTATATATCTGAAACTCTAACTGCTCACAGTTTTAGTGCGCTCAGCGCTGTGCGATGTAATTTTTAAAAAATTGGATACGCGTTGCCCAATTTCGTCACATCTGATTGAAATGTTACAAAAGTTTGTTCAAATTCAACAAACGAATTATCGCACACAGTTTGTAAGATACGACATTACATTATTTCTATAATATATAATGAAACAAGATTTATCACATAATTATTTATTTTCTTTCTTTTTAAAAGTGATGTGCTGATATCGTTTTTCAATCGATTTTATGTTACACTTAGAGAGAAGTATTTGTTTATGCCTCTTGCAGTTTACGCCAAACGATGGTTAAGGTATATGCAAAAAAGCATATTATTGAAATATTGCTTTATCAACTAATTTTTAAAACCACAACTGATTTTTAGTAATTATTTTTCTTTTTATTGCATCATGAGATTATATAGTAATGGGGACTTGTTTGCTTAGCATTCTTATTGAAAATACTTCACAGTAGGTTATTACCTAACATAAACCCATTACATTTCTGTATAATTATTACTTTGCCTTCGCAACAATGGTTACTGCCCGCCGCCGCCCCCATTTCCTGAGAGCATAGGTACATCAAAGCTTGTCACATAATTTTGTAATTTTTGGCATTGTACATAATAACAAAGATAAAATACATTGAAGAAATCTTCTTTAATAGGAACCCAATAAATGCGTTTCTGAGTTTTTAATTACAAATAAATGCTTATATAATAATACATAATTTTTGCTATATCTGGAATATCTAGAAACGATTATTGGCTTCCAGCTAAGTCAAGCCTAAGATTTTCTCATCCTAACCTTTTAATTACTTTCTAATAAATAAATAAAAATATCTACATTTCGATAAATTTAAGCGAGTCTCCCAGATCTGGCATCCGTTATCACACCCCAAAGCTCTATTATGAATTCGTCTGTAAAACCGAACTCCTGCAGATCGCTGTTGTCTATTGCTTCAGCAAGTTGCATGGAATTCGTCTTGCCCTCAGCTATATCCCACATCTGTGTTGCCAGTTCAGAATCGTTTATTCCCATAAAAGATTCCAACAGTCCATTTATTTTCTCTATACCAGCTTTGGATTTCTCGTCATGCTGAAATAAATTTTAATATTAATACTAATTTAATAGTGCCTCAAATTCCAAACTAGACGAGCTCGACGGGTTAGAAGTGCCCGGACGCTTGCTGACAATTAAATATACTCGAATAGGCTATGACAAAAGCGCTAGTATCATAGCCATTGTTTACCGCAATTTTAAGTGCACAGGTGAAGTAAAAAAACGTGAGGAACGACTTCAATGTAATAAACGTTAAAAAAATAAGTACCTACATACGTTTTAAAAATATAAAGGTAACCGACGCTCCATGCGAAACGTCGGGCGTCAAGTTTCTTTCAAATGCAATTAAAGTATGTTATCAAAAATAGTGACATTACACATGCATATGAAAATTGGTAGTCGTCAAATAAGTCAGATTGTCCGCTATTTCATTCGTCTTCACTCTTCATTAACAAAGTTTAAGATTTACAATTTTAAACTTTTGTTTAAATATATCTAGCCTTACTTTTACCATGCTACTAATAACAAGGCTAACCAACAACTTCTGCTGTTTGACGAATTGACAAATTTGTCCCGGGAGAGGAAAAAAAAAAGTTTTAAGTGGAAGTATAATACTTTTGCGTTTCGTCAGGTAAGGTATCTGGGGCCCTTTTTTTTAAAGGTTGTCAATTCATCTATCTACAAGCGCTCCGGTGTTGTAAATGTCCATGGGCGGCGGTATTCACTTAAAATCAGGTGAATCGCCTACTCGCTCGACAACTTGTCACATAAAAAAAAGTCTACGACACTGAGGGTGAGGGTTAATATTACTTTTTATTAGTGAAAAGAGTTCAAGATCCAGATCACTGGTTTCAGAGATTGATTGTTATAACGGCAAAATATTTTAAGTTTTGAAATAATAGTATAGAATAATAATCTGTTACTATAATAATCTGTTACTATAATAATAGTAATAAAAACTTTATAATATAAGTAAATAAAAACTTTGCCCTAAATCAGATATAGATATAGAGCAATCGATAATTTCCTGATTTAGCATGCACAATGACTCACAAAAGTATTGCACCATCTTTTTATAGCACAGTATGAAACACTAACCTCATTTTCTATCGTTGCTGGCCCGTTCGCTTTGAATCTTAGAGTTTCTTTCCCCGAGCCATAGTTTGTTTTTCTTCCCGCGCGTGCACTGCTCGATTTTGGTCCAATACTGCCGAAACCACTTTTTAACGGTTCCACCAGCCTAATTATGAACGTAGTCCCTTTAGGGATGTCCTTCAGTAACTTCGCGACCTCGTAATGCCTTTTGCCGACCATATTTTCACCGTCCAACTTCTCAATGTGATCGCCAACCTGGGGGCGAAATTATGACTACAATAAGACGCTAATGCCCGCAATAGTTTATTTCCTGTTAATGCTTAATAAGGTGAATGACCAGACTCTAAAGCCAAGAAGATGACACTTTAATACAAAAATGATATTTAACAGTAGTAAAAGTTAAAAGTATGTTACCATATCAATGTTAATAAATTACACAAACGAATATGTTTTGTTTGTAATTTTTAGTACTCTATATAGAAGATTTTCTTGCTTAACTCAATTATGTTATTGGATAATTACGTTTAAAATTACGTTTTCCTAACACATTACAACTAAAAAAAATCTTTTAAAGGTTATAATTTAAATAAAATGGTTTTAAAACCAAATAAATAAGATACGGTTACTAATTCTCTAATTTAATTGGATCTAGTAGTAGATACGCTTTCTATGCGACGAAGGTACGCTTAAATTGTGAAGTGTTATTAAGCGATATAGGTTATTTAATAACTTTAACAAAATTGCATTCTGTTCACAGCTTTTAGTGTAACGCCCAGTTTCTAAAAGACTGATTATCGTAGAAGTCAACTAATCAGCTGTCAAATGGCTCTTCAAAAGTTATTTGAGTTGCAAAAAGGATTGTTAAACTCTCTGATTGGATCAGAATGATCAATTCAAAGAGTTTAACAATCCTTTGGGCAACTCAAATAACATTTGAAAAGCCATTTGGTAGCCGATTAGGTGACTTCTAAGATAATCAGTGTTTCGGAAACCGGGCGTAAGTATCTGTACACTTTTGACGATAGTCACAATATTAGTACAATAAATTGCCACTTACGAGTCAAGACAAGTTAACGTAACTTACAGCTTACTACCTGCGTGTAACATGCGTGTCTAATCAATTTTACATTTTAAATTATTTATTGCAGATGTAATATTATAGAATGGGCACGTGTATTGTTTAACCGTGTTACAAACTAGTTAAACAAAATTATTAGATGAAGCGTTCGTATTGCATTCTTTATCCTTATGATCTATTGATTCAATATTTTTGTAACATTTTTGTTCTTTAAAAATATATGATTTTTCTAACCTCTATATGTGGTATTCTCGAAACAATAGAGCCTTCTTTAATCCTCTTGATGAAAGCGTACCCAGCACCATTATCCGTGATCGTCAGTCCGAGCGCGTCTTCGGTTTTCACTATCTCGATTTCCTTTGGTCTGCCTTTTCTATGTGCGAATATGAAGTCTTCCAAGCCAATTTGTCCGCCCAATAATTTTTTCATGTCCACTTTGTGCGTGTTTAGCGTACAAAATAGGATCTGGAACCATAAAACAATGTAAGTAGTTAGATAAAAAGATACAATAGATATGTAAAACATTGACTTTTGTCTTGTGATCAATTCATCATGGAATCGTCCATTTTTTCATATACCTATTGTCAAAAACCTAAAATTATTATAATTTTTACAAAACACGCAAACTGTGTTTAATTTTGTTCCCTTATCGGCTAATTGATTAAAAAGTGGCTAATTGATTATTCGCTATGTTATCGAAAATCTGTATGGTAGGTAGAGTAATAGGTAACTGGAGATAGAATTTTGACGTAAGTATTATGGAGCTAATGTCAAATACCTATCGCTAGTTACCAAATCTATTTGTAGGTAGAATATTGAAACCGGCCGTTAGTAATATCAAAATATATTATTTTATTCTAGGTCATTAAAACAGCCTAAAGCTGTGCCGAATGTAAAAAAGCCAAAAAGTAAAAAGAGAACGTGCGAGCACTTTCTCTTTGCGGGTTGTTCTTAAAAAATTCATTTTTTTTTCTTTTAAACCTTAATTAATCTAAATCCAACATCCAACCTTGTCTTCCATTATTTGAAGTTTTTTTTTTTCGAACAATTTATTTTTATTTGCTAAAAGTGAATAGAGGACATCAAATATTGATTAAGATTATGAATATTTAAGCTTTGATCTCTTACATTTATTGAACACCATCTTTTCGCTCGCGTTGAATCCCTTAAATAAATATACCCTTTAAGACCCCTTTATAACCCCATTTTCCAATTAAAAAATAGCCTTTAAATGTCCTTTTTCATGCTCTAGACTATCCGTGTACCAAATTTCATTTAAATCGGTTCAGTAGTTTAGGCGTGAAAGTGAGACAGACAGAGTTACTTTCGCGTTTGTAATATTAGTATGGATTATATATACAGGGAGGCTTTTCTAAAGGTGCCCAAATTTACACAGGGGTTCAGACTCGGTAGTATAATCGTTTATTGAAATAAACGCAAACATTTTTTCCAAAAAATTGCAATTCTATTCCCTAAAAACAGAACTTGTTGAAAATGCGGTAGTCATTCATAAATGCGTCGTATACTTTTGAAACGAACTTGTGTGCGTGTTAGTTATGAATGATCGCGCGTAAAAGAAATGAGTTGCCCATAAATCACCCACTTTTTGAGATAAGTTCAAATGAATGTAATTAATTAATTACGACTGATTTTAAATATTTTACATTTTTATATAAAATTATTTATGTCTAGAAGTTAATAAAAAAAATGGATACACTTAGAAAAGCCTCCCTGTATATTGTTTTTTTCTTTATAAAATAAGTACCTAACGCGTGCATGTTTATTTTGCACATTCCGACCTATTATTTTTCATTTCATGTTAGGTTAGCTCTTTATATCTTTCTCTCTATATTTTTCTCCAAAAAAGAAAAACAGCTTCACAGTTCACACTATACTGGCCCGATAGAGAATCCCTGTTTCTATTCGATGTGAAATATTTCCATGTAATAACAAAAAACATCCCATTGAATGTGTCGTGAAATTTTCCTCCGGCTGCTAGATATTAGGAACATATTTTTTAATAAAACCGTGACGTATAAAGAAATTTATATAATATAGAGCTATCTCTATGAAAAGAAGTAGAAGCTGAATTGGTAATATTTTATCCCATGTTGTTTAATTGTTTCTTATTTCTTTAAACAATACGAAAGATAATCAACCGACATACAAAATTCAATTGGATTCCAACAGTGAAAGCAATAAACAAATCAGTCCAGTCACGGCTCTGCCGCCGTTTGACCTTGATTTTATACTTTATTTTGATCAAACAACAATACTTACATTGCCTGTTATTCAAGAATGAAAAATGTTTTTTTTATAATTTACTGTATACATCTCACACAATTATAAGAATTAATTTGGTAGTTAAAAATGGAGCTTTGTAACAAATGCTTCTTGAGGATAATTAATTCTTACAGTGTTGTTGCAGTATTTTTCTATATGTATGGCACGTATGTATTGATATTAGCATACTATTGATGCCAGTTCGTCAATATCTCGTTTTAAAACTAGGGAATAAATTCCGAAGCGAAGTGTACAACTATAAACTGAGTAGGTACCTAGTGGCTTCACGAACGATCGACAAGTTTATTAGAAGGCAAAAAAAGATTTTTAGCTTGTTCGAACTGAAACCATCTTAGGCTCGATTTATCTATCTTCTTATATATATTCCCACCGATAATTGACTCATCACGATATTTCTGGAACCATAAGCCGTAGAGACTTGTTTGGTAGGAATATTCCTTTCGCCGAGTAGAGGTCAGCTAAGAACGGATTTTACGAAATATTACCTGTTGGGTCCGCTAATTTTCTATAATTTTAGTCATACTAGCAATCTTAGCAATCGTCATAAGTAAAATATGTACAAGAGACTTTCGCATTTTTAGCAATGATATCGCGAAAGACCACAAATACGGTTACGCTGAAATCAAATTTTTAGAGTTGTTGGACATGTTCTAGCCATGTACAAGTCATCATAGTCATTTATTTTGCTACAAAACTAAGGAATTACCTCTATTACATGAAGAGAGATTCATTTAACATATATAAACGTGTTATCTGTGCGAGGAAAGATTAGAAGTCATCAATCTTCTACCTACTAAAAATTACTTCGCATAGGCTTCTGGAACTAAGAATGTATCTTACACACTAGCCGCAAATAGCAACCACAGTCTAGTTTTTATCGCATGCCGGGTAGCCATGCTAAGTACCATATGATCAATATTAATCAATAATTGCGCCATATTGTTTCACTGTGATGTTGATCAGTTGCTATAATACACTATAAAGTGTATCATACCCACCCAGGTTTGCGTACCCACGTTTTTGATTTCTATTATCTAGTATATTTGCACATATTGGTAGCCTCCGTTTTATATTACTTATGTTATAATTATGTAGAGAAGTACTTTAAATTAATATGAAGTATTAAAAACAAAGGAAAGTGATCTTTTCTGATAACATACAGCGTGCATTAAATAGTGAATATTTTTTAAAAATCACTTTCACCTTCATAAAAGTGGCAAAAAGAAACATTGTCCTGGCATTCACTTTTATTCTAACTACTGCGGGCACGATTGAAGACATCTTGACCTTTCTGTTCGAACACAGTATTTCGAAACATATTGTTGCGTATAGTTTTCACGCGCGGTAGGCTCTTATCATCCGACAATGCAAATGGACCTTTATTTCGTACATGACCGTCATTTGACTTTGTGAACTAACAGCTAATTGTATCTCGGATACCTACTTAAAACATTTATTTTTATTTTTATTGAACGTCTTACTCTGCACTAGTATTATCTACTAGTTAGCATTTTGTTTTCCCGTTTGCCCTTCAAAAGGTCCTTGACCCGTGCACAGTAGGTCACCAAAAGCCACGCTTTATATTGCGCGCCATATATCTGCAGTCACTTGGCCTGTTCGTTCATGTCATACGAGAGTGAGACTGCGCCCCTGGGCTGATCCACTTCCTGGCCACTCAGCCATGCGTACATCCGTAGTGACACTTTTTAAACGCAGTTACACATGTAGCAATAACCAATTTTACAAATTTGTTAACAAACTATTAACAATCTAACTCTCCTATTCCTATATTGATAAATTTATTTGACTACGAATAAACCTACTTCCGAAAAGTTTCTTTTGGAAGTAGGTTCGTTTTACTCCTAATTAATTAACTAAAAAACTTTAAATATAAAAAATATAAGGAAAAATCGGCATTGAATGCGTATTTGAAAGTGTCACAATTCACAATAAACTTGACCGTGTTATAAATTACCTCGCTAAATAAGAAACATCAGAAGTAGAATTAGAAAGAATTATTCCACGGGCAAAATACCTACTTACTTATTACAATGGCATTGCTTGGCTTCATGATATTTTGTCTATGACCTTTATACGCTAACACGCGCTCAAGGACATTTCTGTAAAATATTCATCATTATTTTACTGAACGCTTTTTTTTTGTAAATTCTTTACGTTGTTCAGTGATTGTTTATCTGTTCATATTCTAATTGTAACAGAGATAAAATCGCCACAGGTCTAATATTAATATTTGTTATTATTTTATATAACTATGAAAAATATGTAGGTGGGTAAATGATTTTACATAAATAAAAAAGCGATATTTCGAAGATATGTACACTGTACACCTCTGCCAATTGGTGGACTGTACGTCACTGTATACGGCTGTGGTGTCACGAGATGGACTATGTCCTAATCCTAATACCCTCTTTACAGAGGGCTATGACCATTAGTGGTTCACATATAGGTCATACTTTACATAATTGTGTTATGTTCAAGAACACTATCATAGAATGGTGGTAAGTTCATCATGGTTGCATAATACAGTTTGATTATTGTATTTTAATGTCTACAACTGGTTCACAAATTTAGATCGTGATAGGCAAAAATGCTGTTAAATATACATTTTTTATTTCTATTTCCACTTTCAAAGACGTGCAATAAAGTCACACAAATACAGAGTAACTCTTACATCTTACATCACATTTTCAATAAAGCTGTGCGATGTAAAAATATTTTCATAAATTTAGATTCATTAGAATTTAGTGTCATTAATTTTGAATTTCATTTACATGGGAAAAAAAGAGTTTTTAGTTTCGTCCAACACAAACTGAGGCACCTCAAAGACCTAACTACCGAGTTAACGTATTTCTTTTAAATTTATTGGCATACAGCCATAAAATATTACTATTTATTATTTCAAGCGTTTTCAGTAGATAAAACAGTTTTGAAAAAATCTGGGTATACAAAAGGATTGATATTTGGGTGCCACAGAAGCTCATTGAAAGAAACCTAATGAATAATGTCGCGCAAAGTCATTGATTTAAATTATGACTGCCAGCAATTGATAAGAATCAATGAAAAAATTAATAAAAATCAGCCAGAATTGATCCACAGAAAGACTGTGGTCAATAATCATGATAACACCAGACCAAACACAT